TTATTATTATTATTATTATTATTATTATTATTATTATTATTATTATTTGGTTTTTCGAGACAGGGTTTGTCTGTGGAGCTCTGGCTGTCCTGGAACTTGTAGACCACGATGACCTTGAACTCACAAACATCTGTCTACCTCTGCCTCCTGAGTGCTGGCATTAAAGGTGTGAGCCACCACCACCCGGCAAAGATTTATTTATTATTTATACAGTCTTCTGTCTGCTTGTATGCCTGTAGGGCAGAAAGAAGGCACTAGTTCTCATTATAGATGGTTATGAGTCATCATGTGGTTTCTGGGAATTGAACTCAGGCCCTTGGAAGAACAGCCAGGGCTTTTAACCTCTGAGCCATCTCTCTAACCCCCCATTATTTTTTAAATTACATTTATTTGTTTGTTTACTGCGTGTGCACGCATGCGCATGCTACAGCATGTGTGTGGAGGCCAGAGGACAACCTGCAGGACCTAGTTCTCTCTCGCCATGCAGGCCCAAGGTATACAACACAGGTCTTGAGGCTTGGTGGCAGGCACCTTACTCACTGAGCCATCTTGCTGACTCTCGGTACTTACTATTAAACAAAATTCTCCTATGGGAGAAAGAAAGAACGGACAATGTTTAGGTAGCAGTTTTGGGTCAAATAAGTAAGTTTCCTTTTCAAAGGGAAAATTTACAAGACTAGCCTTAATAATGGTGCTTAATAACAGTTGAAGTCCTCTGCCACGGGAGGTTAGCCCAGAGATGCGGATTTAGCATGGACGTTCCAGTAGTTTCCTTCTTTCTGTTTAAGATTTTAAAATCATTTTTAATTATGTGTGTAGGTGTCCCTGTGTGGGTAACCACACAAGCTTGCGGAGGCCAACGTGCATACCTTCACATGTGCATGCCCAGAGACGCTCGCACACGTGTACATAAAAAAAAAAACATAATACATTTTGTTTTTAAAAAAAAACCCAGAACAACAGAAATATAAACTGAGTAAATGAATTGACCATGGGATCAGGAACAGAGTAAGTATAGTTATTCAGCATGAAGAAAGGACTGTGCTTCAGCTCTGGAAGATTATAGTTCTGTGCTGTGTTTCCTGGAGGGGTGGTGACAGCCTTCGCTCTTTTCTCTCTCTGGCCCTCAAATGACTTGCTGAGATGAAGCTGTACTTGTTGCCATGGTGTTTTCCTAACCTGTAGTTCATGACCACTCAGAAAAGCTATCCCAGGATAATCATCTAGACAGTAGCCTTCACTCCCCTAGCTAAGTATCCGTGGGATATCTCTGCTCTGTCCCAAGCTTCTGTTCCCTGCTTGTTTCTGTCCCCAGCTTCTGTTGTTTGCACAGTGCTGTGGTTTGAATGTGAAACACTCCCCATTGGCTCATGTGTTTGAACACGTGGCCTCTGGCTGGGAAAGTCTCCAGGGAGAGGGTGGAGCCTTTTTAAAGAAAGCGGGTGTCCTGAGGAGGGCCTTGAGGCTCTAGGGGTGAGTGCGATTTGGGGGTAGGGGGGTAAGGTGGTGGAAGCAGAGAGAAGATGGTAGGTTCATGGGAGGGCATACCTGTAATTGGAGCGCTTAGGAAGTTGAGGCAGAAGAAGCAAAATGAATGAAATGAGTGTAAGGGTAGCCTGGACAATATGGCAAGACCCTGTCACAAAAAGGAAAAAAAAATACACAAAGCAATGCTAAAAAAAATCAACCCCCCCCCCAAAGTCATGTGACTAGACTCTATGACCTACCATGCAAACACAGTCACATTCAAGAGGACAAGAGGGAATATTGTTTATTTTTGATTGAGGATCTCATGTGGTCCTGGCTGGACTTGAACTCCCTATGTAGTAGAAGTTTTTTTTGAACTCTTGTCACTTTTGCCTCTGCTTTTGCCAAGTGTTGAACTACAGGTTTGTACCATCATAGCCAGCTAAGAGGATGTCATTAACTACTCAGGACCATAGGTGTCACCTCACACAACTACTGGTTCATACTATGTGCCTAAAACCTTTTCTTGTACAGTCCTGAACCTCACGGATTTTCGTCAATTGCCTGCGTAGCTGGGATTACAAGTGCGTGTCACAATGCCCTGCTTGTTAGCTAATTTAGACAGTGTTAATATTCAACAGCTAGATGATCTAAAAGTTTTTTGTTTGTTTGTTTGTTTAGTTTGGGCTTTTGGTTTTCTGAGACAGGTTAGCCCTGGTTGTCTTGGAACTCACTCTGTCAACCAGGCTGGTCTCAAACTCACAGAGATCCGATTCCCTCTGCCTCCCAAGTGCAGGAATTTAAAGGCGTGTGCCACCACTGTCCTGTGGATTAAAAGTTATTTTTAAAGTTTTAAAAACAAAACAAAAAAACTGATCCTAATACTTTGGAGGAGGATTCTAAGTCTGGGATATCTAGTGATATCCTGTTTCAAAAGCCACCAAACAAACAACAAAGCTCAGAGGACCTTATTATACGTGGAAAACACTAAGTAAACAAATCAAGGTGGGAGGGGAGGGAGTGTGGGAAAAGTAATAGAATGGGGGGGGGTGTTGCAGTCTTTCTCCCCCCTTCTCTCTGACACACACACACACACACAAGGGTGTAAAGTGATTTTGAAATGGTGCTGCTTAACCCATCCAATGGAGTTCAAGTTTGAATTTCAGCCCGTTTGAAAACCTGGATAAGACGGTGCTTCCCCAGCTGCTTCCTCCACTGGACAGCAGGTCAGTGGCTGAGCTGAAAGCACCATCTCATGACTGTCTGCCAAGTCATCTCCGTATGAGTCAACCAGCCTGCGAGTCGGCGCTCTAGACTGTTATTCCAGTGCTGTAATGAAGAGCAAAGAGGGCTGGGGCTCTTGCACTAGAGTGAAAACGGTATCTACTTCCTGGGACAAACGTCCACCAACCCTCTTCTCATATCAGCCGTGTGTGCTCCACTTAGGTACCTAGCCCTGGAAATGAAAAGCAGGCATACCCTTACAATTCTAGCCTTTTATTGGGGAAATCTCATTGTGTCTGAGATCTAGCTAGTATTCCGAATTGTGAGCTCTAATATTTATAATAGTAATAATTCATATTTATTGAATCTTCACCTATTTGTTTTCCCCCAATAACTCTATAAAACTGTCATTAACTACCTCTGTTTTATTTTAGTTTTTTGTTAGTTTCTTTGAGACAGGGTCTTATGTAGCCCAGGTTGGATCTGAACTCCTGATGTAGCTGAGGTTGGCCTTCAGCATCTATCCTTCCTGTCTCCAGCTCTCCAGTACTCCAATACAGGTATACACCAATGTGAATCAAGGCACAGTCCAAATCTCACAGATAATAAATGTTAGCTGAGATTTAACCTCACTCAAGTTAAAGGATGGAGGATCCTAGTGTTGCCTTCATCTCTAACTCCAACAATCCTCGTGTTAGTCTCTCTCTCTCTCTGTGTGTGTGTGTGTGTGTGTGTGTGTGTGTGATATCATTAGGCATGATAATAACAGGGCTGTGAGTTGGGAGGATTCCCGAAATGGCTAGGGAGTGTGGCTTAGTGGATAAGCATAAGCTTAGCATTTGAAAGCCTCTAGGTTCCGTCCCCAGCAGGTAAGACGATTGTGTGAGGGTGGGGTGGGGCTGCTGTAAGGCATACAAAGGTTCCAAGAGCTAAAGGACACATACTACTAGGAATTCAGCCTGTGCCAGACACACTTCTGTTTAGGCAATGAGCTTCAAAAACAGGACCAAGCAAGGCCTCTTCCAGAGGGCGCAGCTCTTACCTATGATCCTGGCTGGAGCTCCAGGGGGTCAGGCCCAGGCGGCCGGTGAGCCACTCTGGCAGTCAGGTGTCATTCCCAGACCCTGGCTTTTCTCAGTTTAGATGAGGATACAAACTATTAGGAAGTCTAAGTAAAGGCCAAAGGCCACCCAGTGACTTGGGGAGGGGCTAACCGGGGATCCAAAGTCGGTTCCCAAAGTGAAACTGCTTTCACTTTCCCAGACTTCTGTAGAGTGGCTCATTCAATCCTCTGGACAGACCTCTTTTGCTTCCTTACAGAGTTCAAGCGGAGCCAGATGCCGCCCCCTGGTGGCAGTGTGAGTCTGCGCAGGGCATGCTAAAGAGCGCGCGGCGCCGCTAGCTGATTGGCTGGCTTGGATTCCAGGTGTTCTGCAGGTAAGCTGATGCTAGGGGCCCCAGAAGGCAGCCACAGCCCTGCCCCTCGGGGTTCAAGTCCAGACTGGGGCGGGCCAAGCTGGCTTCTGAACTTGGAGAGTTTCTCGCTTCTCTCTTATTCATGCAGTGGTCATGAATTCATCCAGGACTTAGGATGACCATTGGACACCAAGGCCAGCAGGACAGCCGGAGAGGGTGACTGTACTGCAGAGAGTGGGGAGCCAGTGTGTGGAGTGTCCGAGGAAGACTAGGCAGGGCAGAGGGCATCCCTCTGGCTCGGTGCTCCCTGCCTGATGGTACTGACTAGTAGTGTCGCGATAAAAACACCGTAGGTTTTCGAAGCGGCTCTTGGTCCTGAACAATCAGGACCCACTGGGTAGAATGTGGGAGAGGCAGCCTGCCACCAGCCTCAGAGATGACCGCCCAGGCAGACACCCGTGTGTTAATTTCATAGTACCCATAAGTTGCCATTTCTGGCTGTGTGATATTTGAGAGTAAGAATATCATCCACACGTTGACCGCAATACCCACGCACTTCAGAAGGCCATGGTCACCATCTTCCATTGGCTGGGCCAACTTGTTTGGGTTTGAGTCTAAAGGTCAGGTCCTAGCGACAACCACATCCTGCTATATTTCCTCTAGGTAGTTAACCCGTGTGCTCACGGCCCAGGCAAGCGGTGAGGAGTGAAAGGCGTGTAGCTGTTTTCTTTGCTTTTTTTTTTTTTTTTTTTTTTGAGACAGGTTTCTCTGTGCAGCCTTGGCTGTCCTGGACTCACTTTGTAGACCAGGCTGGCCTCGAACTCACAGAGATCCACCTGCCACTGCCTTCCAGAGTGCCGCGATTAAAGGTGCGCGCCAAGGCGCTAGGCTTGTGGCTGTTTTCTTAAAGACAACCCATCTAAGGCAGTTTACCAGTGTCCATCCTTGCTTGGTGTAGACTGACAGTGGACAGGGATCCACAGTCAGGGACCCACCACGAAGACCCTTAGGTGTCCCTTGCCAAATGTGCGGGTTTTGTGGATGAGCATCGCTCTGCGGTCCAGCCAGTGGCAGAGCTGGAGGTAGGCCGGGTAGCTGCTGTTAGCGTCTGGCCTGAGCCTCCCACCCCTAGGCAGGGGACTGTGAAGCATGCATCCAGAAGGCCAAGGATGGAAACACTTGAGGGACAGTCTGCAAATGACCTGGAGGGGAGTTAATGGAGAAATCAATCTAAAGCTTCCTTCCGTATTAGGTGGCCTTTCTAGGGAGCATTCTGCACTACATTTCCTACTGTTTACTGGTTTGGTCCCCACGGCTGGTTCAGCTTGCTTTTTCATACTGCCTAGCACCACCCACTCAGGCGTGGACCCGTTCATAGCGGACCGGCTCACCCACATCAATCGTCAATCAAGAAGAATGCCTCACCGATATAGCCACAGGCCATCTCAGTTGAAATTCCTTCTTCCCAGGTGATTTCAGTTTGTGCCAAGCTGACAACACAAACCAGCACAAGGTGCCATGGTGGATGCTTCAAGGATAAAGGGCAGTGCTTGCCAGTATGCATTTACTGTATCTTATGTGGGGTTCCTAGAAGGGATTTGGAAAAAGCTGGGAGCGGCTTGGGGATGGGGACCCTGAGTGGTGGTGGGCTGTGTGTGTCTACCAGAAAAGAGTTCAGTGGCTTCGGATCATTCTCTACATCTTTCCACTGCCAAGTGCATAATTAAAATGGTCCCCCAGGGAGCCCTCTCTGGTTTGTAGGAAAATTCCAGTCCTTGAGGTCTTATGGAGAGTGACAGCTATGCAGAAAGCAGCTGGGAGCGTGCGGCAGAAAGGAGACTTTTGCTTCCTGCCTGGGCTCTTGGATATGCTCAACGCTCTGCCTTCGGTCAGCTGGACGCTGGGAGGGGACACCCTAGGCCTAGAGTAGGGTCACAGGGGGTTCGGCTGATTGCTTTCTTGCAGCATCTGCTGTGGCTTTTGGAAAGAACTGTGGAGAAGTCAAGGTTTTGGGATCCAAGACCAGGAAGCTGCAGTCTTCTCAGTGGGGATGAGGCGGTGTGGGGATGTGAGACAGCTGTATGGAGAAAGGCAGAAAGTGCCGCCATGCCCCACGTGACAGGCCCCAGCAGTGCCTTTTCAGGGAGCTCTGAAACCAAGCTGGACCTCCCTCTGTTACTGAAACAAAGGAGATGACCAAGGTCATTTTGTCAAGACCACTTCAGATCTGAGGAGTCCATTATACATTTTGCATTTTTGATTTATTGTAATTTTGTTGGTCTTTGTTTGTGCCTCTTCTCTTCCTTCTCCTCCTCCTCCTCCTCTTCTTCTAACAACAGGGTTTCACATAGCCCAGGTTATCCAAGATCCATATGGGGCCAAGAATGAAAGTTGAACTCTCTCTCTTTCTCTTTTTTTAAATACTTATTTTTTTCCAGTGTATGGGTGTTTTGTCTGCATGTATGCCTGTGTACCGCATGCATGCACAGTGCCCACAGAAGTCACAGACGGTGGCAGATGCCCTCGAATTGGAGCTACAGACAATTGTGAGCAGCCATGTGGGTGTTGGGAATCAAATCCTGGTCCTTTAGAAGGGCAGCAAGTACTCTCAGCATCTGAGCCATCCCTCCACCTCCCAGACCTTAAAGTCTTGATCCTTCCACCTCCAGCTTCTAGACGCTGGGATTACAGTGTGATAGTATGAGTTACTGTGTCCAGCATTATTTATTACATTTATTTGCTGGGGAATTATTAATATGATATTGATTCCTTAATCTGCTATTTTAGAAATAAGTGGACACAGAATCCTATTGGATTCTGTACACTGGGCAGATCTTAACCCCCTAAGCTATCCTGTTATCTCCCAGCTACACATCCCATCCAAGATTCCCATGAGTACTTGCACGTGCTCCATTTGGGCTGCTTCTCTCCATCATGACCACCTTTGGAGCAAGCTCCTCCCGGCCACGAGTTTCTTGTTCGCGCTAACCCATGGTGATCTTCTTTCTCCTTCCTCCCTCTCTCACGATCCCTCTGCCCTCCAAGCTCTAGAACCTTAGCTCCGCCTACCCCTCTTTTACCCAACCCAGGTATAGGCAATTTTATTGGGCAATCGGGGATAATTTGGAAGGCAAAGTTACACAGCCTCGCTTGGTGTATGTGAGCATTTGCCTGCAGACCGTGTGGCAGGGACAGATGGCCGCATTGCAAGCTGGTGGCTTCCCCTGGACATCCCCAGGTGCGGCGGTCACTGAGCAAGCCCTCTCCAACAACCATGGCAGTCTCCTTACTGTGGACCCTGTGGCTTAGTCTGTGGCCTGAGATGAGCCCTGGCACTACAGAAGGACCATCACTCCACATGGAGTCACAGTGCGTTAATAGCGTCTGTTCCAAACAGTTCTGCGAGCCAAGAAAACATCCCTGCAGATAAAGCGTGTCTTAGTCTTGCAAGAGGAGGCCAGCCAGGGCTTGCATGCCCTCTGAGGGGCTGGTGCTGTGTCGGAGAGCTGGAGTGGGTGGCTGTCCTTTGCAGCTTTCCCCAGACATGTGATTTTGGATGGTTTCTTAAGACTGTAGTCAGCAGCCAATGCTGGTTTGGCAGGAGACACTGGGGTAAGAACCAGTGTGACTTGGTGGTGACTTAGGGCAAGGCCTCCTGCCCTTTGCCTCTGACCTGCCTCAGGAACAGGCTCGATGAGGCCAGGGCGCAGGTGAGATTTGACCCGCTAGCTCTCTGCTGCGTTATGTTGCTCTTCCCCGCTGACTGGCTGGGCTAGTATGATCTTCTTCCTTTCTCTCCCATTTTGTGAATCACCTTCAAAGTCCACCTCCTCCAGGAAGAGCTGGTTTGTTCCCATTGCCCCTGGGACCTCCCCTGTATTCTGGAACTACAAGGCTCCCACAGGGTGGGATACAGCTGATCCTGTGTCTGATGTCAGTCCTCTCTCTGTCTTTAGGCTTTGCCATCCAAGATCAGAGAGGACAGACATTATATTGCTTATTTATGGCAGTCCCAGCAGTGGATCCTTAAGGAGCATTGGGTTAAATCTCTTTGGATAAAGTTGACTAGCTAAGATTTCCCCCCCACTTTTCCTCCCTCCTCTCCCTTTGTCTTCCCCTTCCATCTTCCCTCCCTGTCTTCCTCCTTCAATTCTTCTCACTCCATCACTTCCCCCTCTCTTTCCCTGCCCTACAGGGTGTCACTATGTAGCTCAGGCTGGCCCCACCTCCCAATCCTCCCATCTCAGCCTCCTGTCACCATATCTAGCCATATTTATTATTTTCATTTGGTCTTCACAGAGACCTTTTTAAAATGTGGCAGGCATTGAATCCCCACCCCCACCTCCAGTGGATGCAAATACTGAGGTTCAGAGTAGTCAGGTGACTTGACACTTTCTGTTTCTCAGCCTCACCGAAGCTAGGAGACCATTGATTGCTTCAGACCATAGATGCATGCCTGCATGCTAAAAGGACCCGGTGGGTGGAAGGTTCATGTAGCACTATGTGGCAGTATGGAAAACTAGAAGGAGATGGTAAGCTTTCAACAGTGAAACCAGAGGGAGAAGTCAGTCTAGGTAGCTGTAGATGTTGTTAACAGGAGCCAGAGAGCTGCATTTGAAGGGTCCTTCCGATATAAGTAGTCTGTGATGCTCATCATGTGCATAAAACACAGCAGAAATTGGATCTTTAAGATGAGGTTCATTCCGAGAGCTGGAGATCTGCAGAGAACCAGGACAAAGTCAACAAATCCTTTCAAAGTCTAGTCTTGTCCTTCAGTTCTGGTGGGTCCCGTCTTCATTATCCACCTCCTCCCCTCATAGCAGGGGGAAGGAAGGTTTGCAAACTCCCAAGCCGCTTAGCCTTGTATTTCTTACCTCAGCCATTTCGGTAACATCTAGATCTGCGGCGAGCAGCGTGCACGGGCTAAAAGGCTTCCAACGCGCACGCGTGTAGACTCTCTGACAGCATGACGAACAAATGTGGTCCCCATTGCTGTGCATGTACCACAGGTACAGGCGGGT